TGTCAATTTACTATTAATAAATCCAGTATTAACTTTTAATTTTGAAATTCTTATGACCATCCTGGATCGCTAGGAAGACGTTTAATCTCCATTAAGCGAGCATCGTGGTTCGACGTGTCGCCCATCAAAGGCGTGTCTCATCTCGGAGCTAATGAAGAAACAAGGAACTTCTTTTGTTCTGTCGAGGGAACAATAAGTGTCGTGTACGAAGATTTTACGACACCGTGAGACACGCCACGGACACGTCAGTGATCATTCGAGAGACGACGAATCCCGATGGGAAAACCCAACGCATCGAATCGCCATCCGGTGTTGACTTTGGACGGGATTAAGATGATCGAAAATACGCGTCGGAAAGCCGGCTATGTTTTGAATTGCTCGGAACCGCGACGAAAACGTCAAATGTAAATGCACACGGTACCATATCAGGTGTTTTAATTACATTTTTCAATGAAAATGTAATCGTAAGAATACAATTGTAAGAATACAAATTGTATAAAGAAAATCTATCTTTATGTTAAGAAAAAAAGAGAGGGTACACTTCGTTATTACTGAAGCCATAAATAACACCGAAAACATAAAATATATAATTTCTCCATCTGATCATAATAATTTGATCACCCATTGTAATATTACTGTATCGTTTAGTTTCTTTTGTTTCGCACGTCCTTCTCTTGTTATGATAACTTTGTACTAAAGAGTTTTTATCCCGTTAATAAATGAATAAATAATAAAAGTGACGTGAACACGGTCAGACACGTAAATTGCTCGAACGAAACCGATATATAAAACGTAATTCGTAGGTAATCGGATAACATTGAAGAAACTCGGCCACGGAGAATGGCAAACAATTATTTGGACGTACTTTATTTTTACTATTTACGATTCCTAAGAAAACGATGCCCGCCACAGGCTATAATCGATCAGATTGGACGCACAATCGATCTTCGTACTTCAATTTCCCCAAGAACGCCGATGCACACGATTATCTGCGCTTGATCTCTATCTTGGTAAAGGTTTAACCTTTAAACGATATTGTTTTTCAGAGGCGCAAACGTAGCTTCGCGAAGGCAACGGAATTCCCTGACGAGATCGCAAGCTCGATGACCCCAGCGCACGTTAGTCATCGTTTCACGTGTATATGGAAGCTCGTTTACTGGGGATATTATCGAGACGGAATCAACGTTATCCTTGATCGATGACAGAGGGTGATGGCTCGACGATGATAATAGTCGTTGCTTGATTAATGAACATGTGTAATTCGTTAACGATGACCTTGTTAGACATTGCCCGCAAAAGGATGTTACACGAGTCACCGTGCGTTCCTCGTTGCACGTGCAGGATGCTACAAGGGTGTAAAGTCGATGGGCACGATATTGTGTCCAGTGATGGGGATCGATACTTTTATAATTCTAATAGAATATTGTTGCGTGGACGCGACATGAGTTCCGAATAAATAAAGGCAATACTAATAAAAAGGAAGAATTATTCATTTGGAGAGGAGGAGTATTTATCTTAACACGTCTTTTCTATTCTATAGTTAAGTACTCCTCCTCTCCAAATAAATAATTCTTCCTTTTTATTAATATTGCCTTTATTTGTTCGGAAGTCATGCCGCGTCCACGCAACACTAGAGTCGTGATACGACTATAGAATAGAAAAGACGTGTTAAGATAAGTACTCCTCCTCTCCAAATAAATAATTCTTCCTTTTTATTAATATTGCCTTTATTTATTCGGAAGTCATGTCGCGTCCACGCAACAATATATTGGAATCATTCTACAAAAATTAAGTTATGTGTCTTATTAATCAGTAAACTATATACAATCTGTAAAGTGCGTTAATTATTTAGGTCTTTCGAAAAAAATAAAAACAAAAAATGTACCCAAGGTACAATAGACTCTCCTATATATGTGTTTCTTGTTTCATACAGCTTGTAAAGTTTATAGAGACAATGAGAATTCGTATAACTGTCCGCGGTATAATCGCGACCAATATTCTTCCAAGCAATCGTGCGAGGCGTTATTAATTCGACACACGGTTATCCATCGTGGGATATGATTGCTCGAGGTGGGAATTGCCAGAAACGAGTAAACTGTCCCTCAGTCCAGGCTCTTTTTAATTATCCAGCAAGAGATAATCATAGACGAGGGACAGTGAATCGCTCCGAATTATGTTATTGTTCGCGATCATCGCCCTTGAGTCGGCATTTCTGTTCGATGGAAATGCCTTGAGTCAATCGTGATCGCTCGTTCCGCTGTAGAAAAATGATAATTACCAGTAATCACGGATGAAGCTGTCAACGAGCTCGTGAAACAGGTTCCTCGAACCAATGAGTATTGCGAGAGGTCGCGAGATTTTGCATTCACGCGGTTCGTTAGTTCACCTGTTCGAAGGCGCAGAATTTGAAGAAATGAACATTTTCTTTTATAAAATCCTATAAGACGATTTAAGTCTAGCGTCGTGAAATTGACAGGCGTATTTTAGAAAAGAGAAAAGAAATAATTCACAGTAGGTATATATTCAGTTGATCTCTCAATTTCAAGATTAATAGTCGCCAAAAAAACGTTCGATGTACGCAAGATTCGTGTGAACTTCTGGTTTTAGAAGAATAAAATTCGAAAATTACTGCGATCTGTGTAGTGACAGGAACTTTTCGTGAGAATGTGAGGTTTTCGTGAATTCTCAGAAACGCGCCTACAATTGTTACTGTTTTTTAATGGAAGTCCCGAATTGAATGTACGAAAAAATTGTTAAATCCTACATAAGAATCCGTGCAAAAAGAGCGACTTATTCACATTCGAATAGATTTACAAATTATTTCTTAAATCGAGATAATATTTTAGTATAATAAATAGACTGCGGATTTTATGCACTTATAGCCAATAGAACTCCGTGAAATACAATAAAAGGAAAAACATTCGTCACATGCAACGAGTTTTTTATTTTATTCTGAACCCAATAAGATAGTTAAGAGAGGATAGACGTTTTTATATGTACTCTAGTCCTTTGTAAATTAGTTTAGAAAGTATGATTTTGTATAAAGAATCCGCAGTCTAATAATAAATGACCAATAAAAAATTTTTTCAATCCTGTCGTATTGTTCGATACTGAGATTACTAAAGCCTGCGATAGGATTCTTTCGAACGTGACTTGTCCAAAGCATTTAAACTTTAAACCCACGAAAACCTTGATTATCATCAACAACTTTCGAAATGTCAGCTTTATTGATCATCCCGTAAGTAATATTATGTGACGTGGATCAGTTCGAAAGGAGAAACCTCGAGGAGTTGTTCGCGAGATGGGCTACAATTGTGCAAGGAAATTGTTCAATACAGCCTCTCTCTTGCGTATATACATTGTAATTTGTGCGACACGTCGATTCCAGTACTTGCATTCAAGTTCAAGGCGTACAGTCCGAGCGTGCACTATAAATAGATCTTCGTGCATATATGGACCCGCACAATTTACACGATCGGTAATCGAAGAAAAACCAGTTTACCGTATTAATAATTCTGTCAGACTCTGCACAAAACGTGAACCCCGTTAACCGATTAGTTGGGCAATTTTTGGGTCATGAATAACTATAGTAAACACATCGATGCATGAACGTTCAAGAGATTTTGAGAATCTATTAAAGTCAAGATTTAAATAATAGTAATATTAATAAATATTTAGCACGTGAAAATTAGATTTTTTAATATGTACAACTTTTTTAATTAATTAAATTTAAAAGGAAGAATATAGATGTCACCAGTGAACGAACAGTATTAAGTAAATGAATATTTCTAATCAGTGGCGCGAAAATTGTTTGAATATGAAAGAAGCGATTGAAAAATCAGTATTTAATCATTTGCGTATTTTACTAACTTTTTTTACTCGGTTTTATATATAATGTAATATATAATTGTACAGTACAATAGTATACAAAATATATAAGACAATCTAGCGTAATATACCGTAAAATAAAATCTGTAGTAAATTAAAAGCCAACATAAATTCTGTTAATAGTACCATCATAATTTCAATAATGGTAAAATAGTAAATCTGTAATCCGACATTGTGACAGGTTTGGTAGTTCTAGTGTTAACAATCTAAATCGACTTATCACGTAAGAAACGTAAGTACAATATAATAAACACCAACACCTGATATTACAATACAATTAAACGTAAAAATGATTACGTAAAGAAGCACGAAACCAACAAAAATTATAAGAAAACACTGGTGAATATCAAATGACAAGTTAACTTGTCTTTCTAGACATTAAACTATCTTAACACTTCTTCCATTCACATTCAAATCATCGTCTATTCCGTAAATAAACGATATTTTCGTATTATTTAGTAATCCTTCAAAAGGTCACTTCGTATCAACTCTTACAAATGAGGAGCTCAATGGAAAACAGGTGTACGCTACACGTGCATCGGTTTTTCATTTTCTACCATTATCAAGCTCTAACCTTGTTTTCCCAGAAAGTAGTTATGTAAATTTATAGTATATTGTGGCCTCTTCCACTAAGCCCCACGATTCTCCAACGTAGAACAAAGGAATCAAAACACGTCAACTACGCAAATAATAGGAGAACAGGATCATACAAATTCGGTATGTCATTTTTCGATGACACCACCCCATATAATACACCCTTTCCGACAACCACCCGCGTACAAATGACACATTCAAACACTCGGGATCACCGTCCTCATCGATCTCACCGAAAAAAAAAACTCCCTCAATCACTTCTCATAGCATTGATGGCGAACCTATGACACACGTGTAAGAGGTGATACTCCAAAACACTTTTATTGACACGTATCGGTGGTAACGTGGTTCTTCTATTTTTATATTATAAATATAACTCTTATTTACTAGGGCTGAAAATATCCCAAAAATTAAGGCTATTTTAATATGTGACACGATACCCTGTTTAAGCCAAGTTTTTATCAAATTTTGACACACCGAGCTTAAAAGGTTAGCCAACACTAGTATGTGGCGTTTACCTTTTTCTTTTCCCAAGCGTCTTCTGATTCCTGGCGAACTTGTACGTGCCGCAGCGATTGACCGGTTACACGTCTTCGTTGAATCTCTCTGGCGCTGAACCACGAGTGGTGTCTTCTGTCGATGAACACCGGTTCACTTGAACGGAGAGGGGGGGGATGGGACCAGTCGCGTAGATTCTGTCGAGACCCGTTACTCACGGCAGCATCCTCTCTACGAGCGAGAATAGGACATTCGAACGAGACAGTCGACGCGTTTCGCGAATCGATACGTGAATCGCGACTGGCTGCGTACCGATCGGTAGCCTCCGGACGTCAGAGTCACACTGATGTCCCAATCGTGCTCTGCTCCTATTTACCGGATTTCTCGCTGCCGCGTCTCCTCCGTATGACCGACGATTGCCGACAATGCCGACGATCATCCGGGTCGCGGGCACCAAAGGGAAACCTGCATACAGGTCGTTCCAATAGGTCGCAACGTGATCCAGATACATAAGTATACGTGCGTATATATACAGGGTGTCCCAAAATAACTTCGATTCCCGGAAACGACGGGTTCCTGGGATGATTTGAAACAACTTTTTCCTTAGCAAAAATGTTGTACGAGGCTTTGTTAACGAGATATTAACGAAAAGGTACGACCAATCAGAGCGCGAGTCTGCCGGTCGAGTTCCCGCGGTAACGTTGGCTACACGCTGCGATAGGTTGCCAACGCTAGCGCGGGAACTAGGCCCGCAGACTCGCGCTCCGATTGGTCGGGCTTTTTCGTTGATATCTCGTTAACAAAGCCTCGGATAAGATTTTTGCTAAGGAAAAAGTTGTTTCAAATCATCCCAGGAACCTTTCAGTTCCGGGAGTCAAAGATATTTTAGGACACCCTGTATACGCCGAACGGAAGCAATCCCCCCCGCATCACGAAACGGGTTTCCCGAGAGATTAGGTTTATTGGAAACGTTCCCAGGGTGTGTTTAGACTCTCGTTGATATCCTCGTTTGGATAAGGCTTGCGCGTCGACTTGCCGTCCGGGGAGCAGCGGATTTTCCCTCTGAGGGAATTTCTTTTTCTTTTTGTGTGAAACGGTCGTGTTGAGGAACGATGCACAGTGGTGCATCGTCACTGGACTGCGATATTTTCTGAAGTAATTCATGAGGACAAGAACAAAAGTAGGAAGCTCTTTCTTCCGTTAAATATATGATAAGGTTAAGAATGAAATAGAATGTATTCGTTGCATCGGATAACAGTTTTGTATTTTATTGTATTCCAATAGTTACAGTAATAATTTTAATATTTGATGCTATCATATTTTAACAAAAAATAGTTTAATTTAAAACATTAATTTTGGGGATTAAAAAACCCTGTTGACTGTAAATGCATAAAATCCGCAGGCTAGCATGACACTTTATAATTTAAAACGTATTGCCTTATAATTAAAAGAAATAGTACACTTATTGATATATACCTACTGATACGCCACACGGCTAGAGTGGGCGGTTACCAGTTCGGTAACTAACTGTAGACCCAGAGCAATATCATCTTTTTAACGAATCCTACCACAATACCCCCACGACTGGTTCTGCGTTTCCAAAATCGGTAATACTCGGGCAACAGTCGCGCGTCACAACAGTGGTACATAATAACTTATTTTGTTCAACTCTACAGGTCTAATCTTTTAGTAAACCTGACGCTTTTGTTTTTAAATTCTTCGTAATGAAATTTTCTATTGACTTGTCCCGCCTAAATTTTCGGGGTGAAACCACACTTTAATGGATAATGCGTGTTCTATTATTATTCTGTATATCTACAAAATTATGGTGGAGTGGTAAACTGTTGTTTCACCATTTCGTTCATTTTCGTCGTTCGGTTTTACCGAATGTTCAATAGTATTCGACACGAAATCATCGTAATTTGTTCCTATCGGTTGTATTCAGGAAAGAACATTTCCTTCTGATATCTGGCACGTGTAGGAGACGATTTATGACGGGGATCAGCGGATTTCCCCAAGATATAGATTCATTTGTATTCATCGAGGTCATATTGGTATTTAATAAATATTATTTCAATAATAAATACACTAGTCGAAGGCAGTCTTGATAATATCTTAACGCATTACGCAGGGGTCATCTCGTTTTCTGACTTCGTTTAACGTTACACATTGCGATTCGATAAAATTAAAAAACTGGGATTACCAATTTATGTATACATCACTGTATCTTGTAATATTAGGTACACTTTGGATATTGTTATTATTATGTTAATAATGAGGAATTTATTAGAAAAAGTAAAATTATATTAACAGTACAATAGAAAACCTAATTTAAGTTTAAACCAGACTTGGGCGCAATTTTATTCAAATAATAGATAGTAAAAAACAGTAATATCTAAGATCGTTATCTTGACCTTCAAAGCAGTTATCAAAAATAAATAATTTATTGCCAAGTGGCCACACATTCAAGAAGAAGTATTAGTTTCTTATACAAAATTTGAATTTCTATGTTTAAGCAATTAAAGATGGCGATGTACATTTTTGATATTTTATTCGTTATTCGAAACCCTTCATTTAAATAATGAATTTGTCCATCTCTGGTTCAAACTATCTTATCCAATTAAAGAAAAAAACGGATTCCTGTTGATAGTGACTTGATAGCAACAATATGACGCGCATCAACGGTATTCCCGATAGATTCAATATTTGGAATCGTTTGGATTAAATAGATATAAGTTGTTTCCAGAGTACAGATAACTGTCTGTTTAAATAGTTGCCGCACCTAGAACCCACTTAGTTCGAGTTAAGATGCCTGGATTTCCCCAAGATTGTGTTCTTGCAATATGACTTTAAACTATGTCACACCGGTAAACAGTGTATGTTGACTCTCATACAGCGGTGTTTGGGTCCATTTTGATCCAGAATTTCAATAACTTCCTGCACCATTCTAGCATACGGAAACTGAAGCGTAACAATTATTTATATCAGTACTTTATAAGATTCGAAGAAATTCCATGAACTGTGCTACTCCAAACTACTCGTTGACAACAGTGCAGCTATCGTACGAGGTGCGCTGTGACGCGGGACAGATACTGGATATGTTCAGTCTACTCGAAATCCCATCACTATAAATTAAGCTATGTAGGATATCTAAGAATGTCAAATAATAAACATTAGAGTCCACTGAATGTGTAAACCAAGTCTGAGCCTATCTGTGCATATCCAATTGATCGGTATAAAACACCCACTTTATGAAAATCGCGGTAAAATTTGAATTTCCACTTCTTTTTCTTAATTACTCCGCTACTAAGCTCAAGAAGTCATTATTACATATATTATTTCATTATACAAGGAAGAAATGTAAGAATAAATATTCAAATGGGTATAAAATCCTTTCGTTAAGGGATGATTTATTATAGCATGAAAAGTGAAACAAAATGGCCGCCGCGTTCCATGATTCGTCCGGTCTCGGTACCGCTTTGAAACTATAAACTGGAATCAAGCATCAATGAAATTCCCGTGACTAATTGCTCACACAAGGGGAAGTTCAGGAAAGCTGATAGATTATGTCTGTCATCACCGGAATTACGGAACACTTATTTTCAATGGAACTGTGGGTACCTATTTATTTTAGCGCGACGTAACGCGGTTTTGGTCAACGCTGAATCGTGTCGCGAGGTTTACTAAAAGCTGATAAAGATCGATAGATCGAAGAAATGATACCGACTGGGTAATTTACGCGACAAACGTGCAGGGTGGAAAATCGATCGGCTTCGCGAAACCACGTGGATCCGTCGACTCATCGTAAGAATTTTTCTCTTTGTTTTATTTCCTTTCTCGTTACGAGATAAATATAGTAGTACCAACACAATGGGAGATATTACATAGTGGCAATCGAGTTTGTTCAGAGGTGTGACGCAAGATCAGGAAAACGAAATGAATGGTGAATGAATTGTCCAATTGTTCGAGTCTTTGGCAAGTCATTATAGTTCTGTGAAAACTAACGTTTAGCATAAACATTTTTACAACCGTTTAACGATGACAAGTTGTAAGCATGATTCTTTAAAAAATAATAGACCAATCCTAACATTAAACAATTTTCGTGGTTACATCTGTTTCTGAGGATTCCAAATGTGCAAATGATTCTTTTATGGACTGTATTTGTTGAGAAAAATACTGATAGCATGAAAATCTTATTGATAATGGAAGATATAGATAGATGATCACACTTTTATTTCATTTTTGTGAATAAATAGTGTTTACTTCCGATCGTTCTGGAGAAAAGTAGTTTTGTTTACAAGGAAAAGTAAAGCAGTACGCGTGTCCTGATCTGTTTTTCCGCGATGAACGCGATCATTTTCTGCGTAAAACGATTCAACTACACGAAAACCAATCTCTGGTCGCGCGTTATTACGATAAAAGGCGTTCGACTTATGTAAATTGCGTTTCAAAAGGATGACTCGATCGTATTACGTTTCGCAGGATCGTCTTCGTTTAATCGAAACAGACGTCCGGGAATACCGAATTTAGCTATGCCCTGTTTCGTAATGAGCCACAATCAGTTGTCAAAATGATCGATATGAACGTTAATTTTCACCAATGCAGAGATTTGCGACAGCATTGGTGCTGGTCTAGGTGGAATATATAAACCAGTATCTCCGTGCCATTACGCGGAGAGATTTCGATAATTTATTCGTCACGTGTGGGCGCCAGCATGTAACGCTATCGACGGGAATGACGCTTCGGAAGATATTTTGGTCATTGAAAAATTGTCGCTCCTGAACTTACCTTCTCTCCCATTTACATAGTTCCATACATGTTTCAATGTTTTTCTTTCTTCTTGCAAAAAGCTGAATCACAATGGAAACTTTGTGAGACGAACGAATATTTTTATCGCATTAAAGTCCTAAAGTTTGTGATATAAAATGCGAATGAAAAATTAATGCGAGTTTGAATGTCACGAAACGAGTCCAATATGTAGTCATTCTGACCGGGATTACCTGATTGAATTGGTATATATGGGACTCGAATCTGCATACAAAATGAAGCATTATGCATAATTTCTATAGTGTTGCAAATCATGCGTTTGATATGCATCAGGTAGGATTATCCCCGTTGCGAGATTCAATATTTAATCACCTCGATTCAATCTTATATGAATACATTTATTAATCATAAATCTAGCGAATTGAAATTATATAATTTGTATATTTTCAGAGCAACTTGTACAGCACTAGCCGTGACAACTTTTGACTTTATGTGCTGGTAATTTGCTCGAAACTTGTGCACAACTAATTGTCAGGGTAATTTCCACTAAAATAATACGTTTTTCATTTCTTACAAAGACAATAGTTTGTAACTATGCTTGTAGCAATTGTTGGCAGTTAACTTTTTTTTAACGAATATTCACTTAAATTTAGGAATAAAATTATGTACTGGTTTTCCAGAAAAATATAACCATATAGAGTCATATCAGATAATTCATTTGTTAGAACGAAATTGTGAAAAATGATTATGCGCGCCGGAAGTTCAAATTAAACGTATCGATTATTAGTATTGATATCAAAACGTAATCGATTATCGAAACTAATCGACTGTCGAGTTTCGAAGTTACGGATGACAACATTGACAGTGTTCAACAGTATTCGACTTCAGTGCTAATAGTTAAGTGCGATACGTTTGTAAGGGATTTGTTCGTCCAGTGTTGAACGATTAGTTAAATAATTAAGAAAATGCCGCGTGTCATCGAACATCGATCTGTAACGCCAATACTAAAAGCGTTTCGAAATGCTGCGCGAGGTGTAAGCAAATAATTTCTCGTTCGTTCGTTGTTCATTCAACGAGTACTCAACTACCTTTACGTTGCTCATTTTTCTAGAAATTACGTAACGTTTTGTTTTTTTATTGATTATTATATTGAAAATGTTTCGTATATAGTGTTAGATACAATACAGTTGAATATTCTTAATTCAAGTCGATCTATTTAAGAGTCTCATCAAGTCATTGGTTATGTTTAGTTTGAAATCATAATTTCAAAACTTCTGACGTAAAAAAACTATACAAATACTGGGCAGTTTTTATTATAATATACATAACTGGCCATTTTATAAGAGTTTACCAAAAATTGCTGATTACCTATGAAATAGTCAGTGCTGTGTGAAGTGAACACGGGCTGAGTTTCAAAACAGAAATTTGAATCATACAAGATTAGAAACAATTCGAAATAAGATTTCTAAGAAATATGTTTTTGTAATAAATAATTATTTTCTTGGATTTGTTCCGTCAATTAACATTGCAGAGAACTATTAAAGAACCATTAAGGTTTGCTGATTGTCTTGCTGCACGTACGCAACCGCATCCTACTATACCTGGTGGACCATACCACAAAACTTCCAAAGTTTATTATTATACACGTGATGCTAGACGTCTCGTTCAACCACCAATTGATGTGTGTGCAAGAAAACAATTAGAACCAGGGTAATTATATTCGTAATTTTTTAAAATATTTTATGCTTGCCGTATTAATTAATCTAAAATAAAACTAGCTAGCCATAAATTTAAACAAAATTGGCTTTCAATTTATGATACACTTTCGAAATAACTTATTGTAACCCATTACTCTTATCCACTGATTACCAAATTGATTTTAGGAAAAGTATGGTCTCGGAAATTAAACTTATTATACCTGGTAAAATTTATGCACCTCAGGAAAAATAAACAAGTATAATAAGATATCCACTGAATGCTAGTTGTGCTATAGTTACTGTATGTAACAAAGAAATGTTAAAGAACAAGTGTATAAATAGACGTAGCAGTGATTTGTAAATAAAGTCCTTCTTTTTTTTAAAGTAATTCTCCCATTTCATGTTTAATTGATAACAGTGCATAAATAATAAACAGAGGAATGTTTTCATATACACATCTCCTGCAGTCAGCAGTCATACAGAATAATTCTTGGGTTTATAATACATTATTACATATAACCAAAACACAATGTTTTCATAAAATTTCTGTGAGTCTAAGAAGTAACATTGACACTGAGAGGTTTGTACAGTCAGCAGGTAGATACTGCCATATCTAACAATATATAATACACGATGTACTCGTTCAACAATTCTTTGCGGGAACAATGAATTTCTCCGTTACATACTAACAATTTTCAACAGAAATCTCGCGAACAACGCGTTCAATTTAATAAGGAATTTGATTTTGATAATACTGTATCATGTCGTAAGTTTTCGTACGGAAATTGAGGTAGCTGTTACGTATTACATTGAGCATAAAGGCCGCCGCATCGCGATCAATGGCTGTCGGCACGAACCTGCTACGCAATAGCTTTATCGTCTGTCCACGGAAACAGGGTAATCCCGTGTCAAGCATAAGGGAAACTAAAGAAATGATTGCCTCTTGGTAGGGCCTGGAAGGAAAATATATTATTATGCATAAATTTGATAAAACAATCATTGCAAGAGAACTAAATATGTATATAGGCTGACCAGTACACTAGAAGTGAGCGCAGGGGGTGATTTCACATGGAAACATAAATCGAATGTGTAGAATTTTGTTCACATGAAGTTTTGGAAGAAAAATAAAATTATGTGTTTTTTAATGCGGCTGGCTGGTGCGTCTGGTCATTGCTTATTGTTTCTACTTACAATGAGTATAGAAAGTGCTTACCTTACTGCTAGGAATGCCTGAACGCATAGCTCCATGAACCACCGGAAAGGCGCGGCCTCCATTTTCCCTCCCATAACGAGTACCATTTCGTCAGTCAATTTGATATCAGGCTCAAAGCCCAGATTACCACCCGGTGAACTCTCGAACATGAACCCAAAGTCGATATGTATAATATGACCTTCTGTGTCCAGCATAATATTGCCATTATGGCGATCCTTGATTTGTAGGAGATATGTGATAACGCTGTACGCGGCCATCGATTTAACAAAGTTACGTCGCACATTCTGGAACTCCTTTGTCGTTTCATCTCCGTAACGTGTAATGAAATATTGATACATATCGATATCTGTGGTTCGGCCTAGTTGGTCACGCGAGGTCGCGTTTGGTACGCATTCTATGACACCGCACTGAAACATATGTTAATCTCGTTTCGTTTGTCTATAAGAAATTTAAAATGATTCTTATATAGATGTGCAATTACCCCAGGCGCTGTAGCCACTACTCTATATGGGAACAAAAATAGATTCAGTCCAACTTTTTGGAATATATTCTTGAAAATACTGATCACTTGTAGAGCCAACATATCCTGCCTAACGTCGTCACCGACTTTGAAAATGGCTGCCTGCCATGTCTCTTTTTCGGGCTCCCTCTTTGCCTCCGCTTTACCGTTAGACGATACCGATAATGCGATATTTTCTAATTCATTTATTCCATATTTTTGTACTTTGAAACGAGCCAAGAATGGTGCTTTCGCGGCACTGTAAATTTCCAGAAGGTATTAGGAAGTAATCGCAACAATGTTACAAACGGAGAACAGAATATGCGTGTAGTTACCTCTGCATAGGAGTACCACTTTGATAATCAATGTCGATCACCATGGCTTCGGGATTAGAAGGTAAATAGCAACCAGGTTGTACTTTGATCTTGGACAAAGCTTTCAGGCAAGCCGATTTGCGCTCAGGTCCTTTAGGATATGGCCTTATGTCACCGGAGATATTTGTGATCTTTTCAAAGAATTCAAACTCTCGTTCGTAGAACTGTTTTGCTGGGCCAGACAACGATCCTAGGATACTTTTTACCAAAGAATCCAGCACTTCGAAAAGAACAGGATCTTTAATTTGTTTATCTTCATCCATGTACATGTTTGTATGCATGTTCCAAATTAATTGGTGCGCTACTACCTACTCGAAATAAATAAGAATTACAATTTAAGTAAAATTGAATAGTATTAACTTAAACGATATAAACACCATTTTTTTGTATCACTCACTTGCGAACGTTTAGCAATCTTCTTGATAAATTCTATCACGTATCCCATGGTATCATGGCGCACTGCTTGCACCAGTTGAGGTATATAGAAGAGCACAGCATCTGCTGGATAACTACTTAGCACCTTTGTCAGCATGTACACCAACTGAAACACAGTAATTTCACCGTAATCGTTTAGAATGTTTAACTACAAGAAATGTTCAAGATTGATGTGATTTGAATAGCGTCTTACTTCAGGTACATCATTGAGCAACGTGTCTGTGGTCACTAGATACTGCAAAGCTTCTGGGACGTGCATAACCGGTACAGGTTTTGAACGGACCAGCCCACACACTTCTTTAATAATAATTTCCGAATTCTTCAGTCGGACCGGCAAAAATACAGCAAGTACAGGACTGATTTCCCACGCAAGACGCGTATATTCGCGCCATCTGTCGTTCATGCCTTTAGCACGCCACTCCGCGATACTCGATTCACCTGGCAGTGCAAGCTCCTGCCTTCCACCGGGATTTCTCCAAACCTATATGTTGATATACAACAAAAATATTCATTCCAATAAAAACTTGGGAGTGCAAATTATGTAGTTACAAATACCAGTAGCATTTCTATTTCAACCGCCAGCAATTCCAAAATTAAGTTTCTTTTCTTTATGTAATCCTTCACGAAAACATTCGCGTTCATGACACGTTTGCTACGGTTACTGCGTTTGCCGAGAGTGTTGCTGCTGGTTGACATTGGGACTGTATTAATCCGCACGCTCGACGGTGTTTTGGTGAATTCATTGTTCGTTGTACCTAGAGCTGTGCTCAGAGAGGTAATTGTCTCGCTGTGCCCGAAGCCACCAGTTGTATAGGTCTGGGGCGTTAGCATTTCAAATTCACCTTCATTACCGGTCATCACTAAATACTTTTTATCGCTATGCATAACCTGCCGGAAGTAATAATTCGTGTCAAAATGATAACCATCTTCAAGCTAAAAACACAATTTTCGCACAATGTTATTTACTTACCTGCCAGAAGCGTATAAGTGTGACGAGATCCTCTCGTAGCTGTTCAAGCTCCTGTGTAGGCACTTGACGCTCCCGGCAGAAGTAGTCCAAACAGTTACAGTAGATGCGTTCACGTAATACATTTTTGCTCAAAGTCCTGTAACCGAGACTCCGTTATCCTTCCGTTTATTTATCGCACAGTAGTATAGTCGGTGAACTCGATAATGTGAGGTTGTAAATCCCAGAGATAAGCCACGACCCGCGACACCTGTTGATGTCTCCGCGCCCAGGATCGTACGCGTCTTAGAGAAGTATGTACCTTGATCATCAGGCTAGAAAGTTATTTAGGAATTGATATTTAAAATTTCTGCTTGTAGTCTTTCATTAAAACTGTGCAGTATTAAGTGCCCATCGTCTCGTGTTCGACACAAATTGCCGTACTAATAAAACTAACCCTACAATTGTCGAGGACTCGGACCGCGTACTCTTTTCGAATTGACATCGCACGGCCCTGAATGAAGCTCGAGCTTCATATCTCCCCCTGATCTCTGTGTCGGCAGCCGGAACATGTAAACATGCACGCCCAGCGTTTTTTTGAGGACCTCACGTTACCGAATTCACCGACTATACATTCTTCGTAGTACCTGGGCAGAATGTCCCCTTGAAGGAGAAGTAGTCCGCAAGAAAGTAATTTGAAGCGTACACCGACTGCGGCAACATGTCGACTCAGTCCAGGCTCTTCGCCAGAAGCACCAACTGTCATCGGTAGTGACCGATGTAGCAGCGTAACGATCATGTCGACTGTTTCTTGGCAAGAGTACTTAGCGGTTTCAATTAATTCCACTATAAAAGTAACCCAAATATCGTGAGGTTTCACTTGAGGTGAATTCGGGCCCAATTTGCAGCCCTCGTACACCGCCAGCGGACTAACTTCCTCTTCATCCGGTGCGAACAGACCCATTCTCTTGTCTACAGTGTATTGCCATGCAACAAGCATTTCTTGTAAGAAGCGCAACTTGAGATCCGGACTTACGGTGAGCATCCACTGCCAGCATTCGACCGCTGTGGTCATTGCTGCAGGGGTGAATAGTTCTATCTGCGAAGAAGCTACTGTGTGCAACAAACGTCTGTGTATTCCTGAAAATATAAATTGACCACGTTGATTGAAAATTAATGGTAAGTCGTAAAAAAATTATTTTCAGCTACCTGGCATAGAGATCAATAGTGCAGTGGCACGCCAAAGTGCACTGCGATGCTTGACATCGTTGCGAGAACGACAGGCCATCCAAACAGCGTCGATCAACTGATCGACTACTTTGTTTCTACTCTCATCGAAGGTATTCCTGCGATTTCCCCGGCGTAATGTGATCGTGTAGACATCATTAGTAAAAGCCACGAACTGGCTCCTTTTGGACCGCGTGGTCGTTTGTCCAATGAATTCGTCTGCTAAAGTAATATTTTATAATATTAAAAATACATTGGAAGGTTAGAGACATTACAGAAAATCGTTTACATTTGGCAGACCGGATGTTGAAACAGCAAGATCCACAAATTCAAGGACTGAATCTGTGGACAGACATAAGCCAGAATGGTGTTTCAATCCAGATGATGGTATTTGATTCACATATTCTTGCAAATGTGATCTGGTTGCCTGAGGTGCCCACTTCATCGCCTCTTGTACTATGCCTTTACATCGTGCAGTAAAATCTTTCACAATGATCTACGTTACACAAATTGGTATTAATATTTGAGCGATTTATGTTGCACAGTAATAGCGTATGTACCTCTCTTGCTTCAAGTGTATCGATAAGTTCGATACTGTACGGTGTACCGGGTATCCGTAGAATTGGTGTCTCCTCGTTTGGATCAATTTGTAATGAGAACGATAGAATCTGTAAGTGTAATTAGTAATAATAATTTCAAGGGAAATAATAGATATAGAATAAATGTAAATACATGCCTGTAATATGTCTAGCATACTCCAAAGCACTTTGCAATTCCACAGAAGATGCGGGAACGCATCTACCAACGCGCTGAGATACTTATCCGCTATTCGCCTGATCTGTTTATGTACATGATTAAAATGCACCAAAAGAAATTGTGCATGATTCTCCAGTTCTTTCTCGCGCCTCTCGTCTTTTGGTTTACGCTGCATCACGTCTTTGAATTTCACAAAGACAGAATCCGCTACGCAGCATATACACTGCCACATACCACTTTTCTCCTTCTGTAGATCAGTGTCGCATAAGTATTCCGTAATCGGCTGCAAGCTTGGCTCCGGATTATTCGCTACACGTAACGTCTCTAGCCAATAAACAGACAACAAGTACGTGCATTGAGCGAATTGTAACTTTGTCACATACTGCGATATGTCGCTGGTCCTATAGAAAAAAAGAAACCGTTCATTATCGGTTCTCCATCCAGCGTGCGATGAAAAATCCGAATTAACGATCAATATTCACCTGGTACTCAATTTTATTATTTGACTTCTTAACTCTTGCAATTCATTCAAGGGGACGCTGTCGTTACGTACAGCTGAAGTATACTGCAGTTCCCTCATTTCAAGGCGAGCACTGGTCTGCGAAATAAGATAAGGAGATTTTACAGCGATTTCCTTCACTCCTTCATGCCACTCTGCGGGCCACAGTCTCGATGCTTGGTCACCAGCAAACCCCATTACAACACAGTAAAGCCAGAAGTCTTTGAAGAGTTTAAGAAGTCTCTTCTGTGGATGTCTGATTGGTGGTAAACGGCGTACTAATATAGCAATCACAGGTATAAGTACACCCAAATGTCCTGCGCTAGTTGCTGCTTTCTATTAGAGAACGTATTAATTAAAACTGAACTGTTTTAGTCGATATTAATTGTAGTAATTGACGAGTGCAGTTACCGTTGCAGTAACATTATTCGGCACCTTGTCACTAGCACGTTTACCCTCTAATCCAAGCTGAACGAATAGTTCAAGCAAATGAAGCAGTAAATCGTCCAACTCTGTTTCACCTTGTAAATTTGCTGCTATATTCGCGAGAGCATTCGTTACCGCCTTAGCTACATGACTATATTGCTTTCGATCGTCGTTCGAAGCATATGTAGCAGTACTTGAGCCTAGTGACATAGAGAACATTTGCATTATGCCTTCATATATCTGAAAAATAAAAACACATTTATTCACACTTTGTCGCCTAGCGATTGTATATACAAATATGTTACCGGCTAATTCAGTCATATTGGTGTTTTTTTTTATTAATCTTAAACTCAACCTTTGACTCGCATTTTGCGATTATCATGCATCCTAACTGATCGACGATTAGAAAATCAAGATCGCTCGGTGTACGGCAAAATAATTGCTGAAAAAATGGGAATATCGTGCGCATGGTCTTTGGGGTGTCTTTCAACGCAACAGCAACGTGTCCCAACATGATTACTATGTTTTTCGAAATTAACTCGCTATTTGATCTCTCATCGGAGTCGCTAAAAGTATTGAAAATAAATCAGAAATCATAAAAGCTGAGACATGAAACTTTAAAGGAACCAATTGAAACTCATAAATTGAGCTGTAGAAAACATTGTACCCGTCACATATGTCAGCAGCGAACAATCTATTCGAAACACTGGCGACCAATGCGGGCACACAATCTGGATTTACGGAGTGCGCAGCTTCCAAAGCAATGCAAAGATTTCCAATAGCTGCATCACGTAGTTTTTCAAAGGCCGTTTGTATAGACGATGTAGTCTGTTTCGAATCGTGCATTTCTTTTCCTTCGGATGAAACATTTTATTGTTTGTATTATACATGAAACAGTGTTCCCCGGTAAATGTTAATATATAGGTGATCCAAACTACCTTTTCCATTCTGTTGACGGTGCAATTTGAGAAGAATTGGCGATGGCACGACAAGAAAATCCCGAAGATAATAAATAGAAGTACTTGCTATATTAGGAAACTTCTGTGCCAATTTCCCTAGGCCTTCGAGGCACACCATTAATAAAGGCATATGCGCTAGCACCAATTTTGGTCCATGATTAGAGTTAATCTTTTCGACTAGACGACCGCATAAACTATCAGCACCTGTAAAGAATTTCACTCGCGTATACTGTATTTACAAATTTATAAGCGGCACGCAGTCATTCATGGATCGAATAACTGTTAATTCTAAGAAACATTTTGAAGGGATGAAATGCACAAGAATGATCGAAACTTGTTTATTTGTTTCTGTATTAACTAATTCAATGAATTGGTTAGAACGAGTTAAGAAACTTGCGTTTAGTGAAATTGAAATATTAGGCCAACGAGGTCAATAGGCGGTTTTCGTTAGTTAAAAACTATTGAACGTTATTGTAAACATAGGACAGGCAATCGAAATGCAACATAAGCTAAATTCTAATACCATCGCCGATCAGCATTGAACTTATATCTGCGAATAGTGCAGACAAATCATACTGGTCTCTCACTGTAAAAATAACGTAACAGACCTATACTTCCCAGTGACATACAAGAATTTAATGACATATTTTACTAGGCAAAACAGATTTACTAAAATTAATTTGGTTTCTGTGTTTATACAAGTCTCGTGTTGCAGTTTAATTTGCACTTACCAGTTTCGTCGCCGATTGCCCACACCAGTAGATCGACACACGCAGAATTAGCCATTACGTTTACTTTAAATCTATTTACAGTTCGAAAATTGGTATCCATGTCTTCCCTCTCGCTTGCGTCATGCTGACGCGACTGTAATTCCGTTTGACCCGATAAAAAGAGGCCTTTCACAAACTCCTGTACATCTTTCGTAAAAGGAGTAGGGAGATCACGTTGATTTTGCAGTAATTCTCGTAAAAGAGCAACCATTACAAGATTCATTGTTTCGTTGAATGTCCGATAAGGAAATATCTGCACCTGACCAGAGTTGTATACCTAAACAGAGCGGTAATGGTTCCAATAAAGCAAGTAATACGGTACCGTAGAACTGCATTAAGAAAAAAAAACAGATAAACTAACTTGTTGAGCTTCTTCGTCCAAAAACGTTAGAATCTCTTTGGTGAGTAATTTCTTTGCTAAAGCTAACACGCTTTGCAAATGCACCACGCTAAATTGCATCCCGGCCCTCCTCTCGGGACTTTCGTTGCATCGCATTTGAGGGAATTGGTTGAAGCTTGATCCGTATCGGCTGAAGAAGTACACGGCTGGATCATACGGTACTGAGGAGTACGATTGTAAGGATGGTCGTTTCGCATAGGGCAAGTCCTGATCGCCGGTTAATAGATTCGGCGCATTGTCTATAGCTGGATGAGGATTTAAATTACCGCTTAAGGATCGAGGAATGATTGGCCGGAAGTTAGAGAAACTGTATTGCTTCTTGTCCGACGTTAAACGCATTTCTGTCTTTGGTACTGACGGAGGCGGTTCTGGTTTTGGAAAAATTCGACAAAGGAGCGGTGGGTCTGTGCATGCGAAACGACCCATTGAACGGGCTAGACCGATCAAGACTGGAACTATGCACTTGCATAATGACACTGAAAAAAAGAACGTTATATTTAGAAATGTGTAGAATTAAATAGTGTTGTAAAGAATCTGGATATTGATGCGAATTGACATTCCGTTTTCAAATGAATTTATTACTCTTGTACGAGGTTTTATTGAGTGATAAGTAAAATCTAGTACGCGACTAGCTTAGTTACTATATACGGTATACTTACACTTTGCTTGCATTCCTCTGCTACCATTTTGATCTTTGTATCCCCTTATTAGATTCGTTAACACTGCCAATATCTCTACTTGTGTAGAAATAATCTCTTCACGTACAGGTTCACACCTGGCCGCAATGTCACTTAGCAATGTATTCAAACAGAAACTAAAACGTTCAGCAACAGGAATACGTTCAGTAGGTGAACATCTAACCTCATCCAGCCAAACAGCCTTGGGAAGACCCCGCAGCAACCGCAAAAGATAAGGTAATATCCGATCGCGATGTTGTAGACCAGACTCCAGAAAATATATTCCCAACGCAATACTTGCATCTTGACCCCTTTTATCCAATCTGTATATACCTTGAGCAGACTCTTGTGGGCATAATTTGAACAACTGCATCACCTGAATCAAAGTACAAGGATTGCTTAATCACCAAATTTTTCATTAAATACATTTAACGACATTGAAGATTATTAATGCCATCCCCTGGGTCGACTTGGGCCGATTCGATTCATGTATAAAGAATCTTATCGACCGATTATTCGACACCAGTGTGTAAGTAGAAATTTAAATTAAATCTTCTTCAATTCTCTATTATTCTATAGCCCGTTTTTGTCACACAGTAACTCCCGTTATGTATGGAGCAAGAGATTTAAATGTATGCGTAAAACGGTTTTATTTGGTTTTATTATTATATATACAAATATTAAACTGGGCTGAAAAAAATTATACACGTATTAAGGGACATGAATGAAATATATAGAAATTTCAGAAATATTTCATATGAAGAAGAATTACATTCATATGAAGGAAAATTGCAGTGGAAGTTATTTATCTGAATAAAAGCTATTACTGGAACATTATAATGCTACTAACAATAGATGATAAAATAAAAGCTTAAAGACTTTTTAATATGAACTCCTGCGAATATAAAGAATTCAGGTATCCGAATTATATTGACTACTTTGAAGAAGTAGATTTGAATAAATGGAATATAGTATAAAAATATTTTTCATTTTATGTACCTACTCTTTAAGAAAAAGATTAATTGCTTTGTGATGAAATTTAAAACATGAACATGATATAAACTAATTATATCATTTATATTACTAAACTTAGTTAACATTAATTAAAGTCATAAAAAACAACAGAATACTGAAGCAAACTTAGTATACATAAACACTTTGAATGCCTTCACAAAAGGAAAGGATTATTGTAAAAGTCTAATTGTTGTTTAAAATATTATTAATAAAAATAGTTATCTTCAAAATCTAAATCATTTCTTCCTAATTATATTAAACCTGATCCTATTTCAAGAATGTGTAATCTCATAATGTGACAGCTGTGTATTTTCTAGTAAGAGAATATAGTCTTATATTGAAACTATTATCATTTATTAATTACTGGTGCCTTATATATACAAGCAAATAAAGTAATAATTTAACAATTTCTGGTTGATAGAAATGTGGCTATAAAAGGTAAATTACATTTATAACGCATGACGAATCTTGTTTTTTTAAAGAAAAGTGACGTTAATTAATAGTCGTGAACCTGTCATTATCACACGGGACATTTAGCGGACTGTCCTTCGTATTATATCACAGGATGACATGTCAGGATATCAGCTGACATGTCCTTACAGCTAACCTAATCTTCATTGATCAAATGTCAAATTTTTATGAATGTTTAAATGTCGTTAAACGTTTCCTTCATTTAATACGTATGATGAAATATTCACATACCTTCTCCCATGGCGTAGGTTTGATCGCTGCTAAACATCTGGCCAAATGTTGGACAGCTTTCGAGAAAAACAGTTTCTCGTCCGCCACCATCTTGTCCACTACCTTTAGCCACCTTCGGCTTACAATCCCTGTAAATATCGTCTGCTCGCCCCACTGACAGCCGTCCCTCGAGACTCGAGACATCGATTCTCGAAGTCGAAGTTTAAATTCAAATTCTTAACCGTTCTGTTTCTCGTTCAAATCTTGTAAGTTCATGTCGATATTAGCACCGACTAGGTATAGAATAGACCTATCATCCAATGCTCTTTTTTGTCCCACGTTCGGAGGGCTACGTAACCCTCTTACCATTTCAGTGCCAATACCCGACGTTACCGATAAAGCTTGAATTCTGAGTATTATTAGCACAAATGGAGCATTATATATTCCATTCATAATACGTGTACCCAATATGATTTGGTGGGAATAAAAATATCCGATGCTTCGGTTTAAAAGATGAATATTGTAATACTGATGAAATATGATAACTTATTCTAAATTTCATCGTTAATGAACATTTTAGTAGTGTTACGTTTTCCACGTTCCCTTTTTATTCGTTTTTATATTTTTTTTATCTGATAACGTGATATAAGAATCCTAATACGCACAATCAATTACCTTCTGGTAATTGGTGAGGAAGTAATTAAACAATGAACTTCGACCCAACTAGAGCTTAGCTAGTCAAGCTTTCTTCATGAAAAATAGTTTTGATCTATTATTTAACTGGTAATATCTATTGTATTGTATTTCATAAACTTTGGCATCATTGTCAAATTGACAGGATATATTTATCATAGATGGCGTTAGAGAACCATTGGAGGATTGAAAACTTCGAGAAGACGAGAGTAAAATTAATACTTTCGATCTATTACGAAGTGGAATGTCACATTTTCGGGGATAGTGTGTGTCTCTTTGTTTCCCTTTCATGATAGTCATTCCCTCCTGAATTAATCTCGGGTGCATATAAGAAAATATATTGAAATATAATTCGGCGGTAAATATTCTATTTCGTTCAAATAGAAAGTTGAGCAAGCAGGAAAGCGACCAATCCTCACGTTCTTCACCAACCGACGCACCAATCACAGGCCTTATACATAACCGAATCAACCAATGACAGCCAGTCAGCCAGCCTAACGGTCATTCGTCTCAGGGAAGCTGGACTGATTAGACGTGTAGTGATCTCGCTCGTGGCGAAGTAAGTATTATTACTTTTCACTTTAAATTATTTATGCTATTAGTATTTTCGTTAGCACTCTATCGTTACTTTCGTTTAATATCTATACAATTCAGTCTAAATAATCGTTTCAGTTTAATAATATTGCTGAATAAAGTGAACTGTTTTCACGATTTCTGTTCTCACCCGGTACCAATTAGTATTTACGTAGTTTTTGTTTAATTTGCAATCTTTAACGACACTCCTCCAATCAATAATTGTTTCGTCGTGACTCAGTCATTGTTAATTTAGTATAATTACTTGGTATTAACGTTTATTTTCTGTTCCAGAATTCCGGCTAGAAAGAACACGCCAACGATGCCAATCCCATTAGACGCAATTTGGCGGGAAATTGGTGAATTCTGGTGATGTATTACAACAAAATAGTTAATATTCCACTAGATATTTTTATTTTAGTACACTTTTACTGTTTTGACCGTAAACTTGATCGCGATTTTCTGATTAATTGTGCTGAAAGCAAACAAGAATTTTGTCGAGAAATATTTCGCGTTCAAACACAATTGAAGCATTCAATATGGCTTCTTGTTTGATCATTAGGAAATTTAAACGGGAATGTTCCAGAAGTTTCAATTCGAAATACTCATAGTTTATTGGATTTCGGTCGCGAAATTGTTTAAATTTTAATAATTTTTCGAGTTTATCATTACGATGTCATCGTATTTGTATTTATATACGGTTTCGGGTGTAAGTTCATTATACATATAGAATCGGGGTTTAATTATACATATAGAAGCTGCGTAGTTTACGATGCTCATCGAAGCTTAAGTAAATAACGAAGCTTTAATCCTTGCAACGATTTTCTCAATATTTATAAAATTCGGTACGCGATGTAGACAGAAATAACGAACATTCTTAAACTCTAACGACGAATGTCTTCAATATAATATGTTAATAACAAATATATATCAGTAATGAATATAATGTATTGAAACAATGGAGAATTATTTCGGAATATTTTTTAACTATGGTACCTTTGCGTAGTTAAATTCATATTTGAATATTTATCGTCGAATGACAGTATTTTCATGATAAAAACACTTGGTAAAATATAAAAATAAAAGGGCTAAGCCGGTGCACGTGCGCCGTATTGTATTTCTTTCCCCCCTTTTTTTCCACAGTATTTGGTGGCCGCGTGCAAGGCGGTCGAGTCCAGTCAGTGTTTGTTTACATCGAAGTTTTTTCTGTTTATGCGGAGCGAACTGGCACCGATTAGGATCTCACCGGAGATGTATTATAATCTTCGCGGAATTAGAGTCAGTGTTTGTTGCGTACAATCTCAAATTATTTTCAGAGTTTCGGGACACTCTTTGCTTTGTGTGTCGCGAAAGTAGAATCATTTGTTCGCCGGTTGAGATTTTCGGTCGCGATAGTTTTTTATTTTCATTTTTTTCTACTTGAAAGTACTCGTTCGCGAAAGTAGAGTCAGTGCATCACTGAAGTGGATTTTTGGGCGAAGCTCTACAAATAGAGATTGTAAGTATCCTCATATTTTATTACTTACACTGTTCAACTGAAACAGCTAGAGTTTTGAGAAGAGGTTATTACGTGTTCTGTTCCTTTGTTTCAGATTTATCAGATGCTGCATAAACAAACACTGCAGAGGATGTCCTTGGGCGAAGCTACATCATTTTTCAAGATTCGTCGAGAGAGAATATTAAAGGGAGCTCTTCAGTCATCGGGTGAGTGAATGTTTTTATTCCTCCAGTCCCCAATCATGTCGTAGGACGATTGGTCCGAAACGGCACGGGCAACTGGTTGTATACGTGCTTTTGGCGAGTACAGTGAACACGGATATGCAATCGTACGATTGCATATCCGCGAGTAGTAACATTCATTTGTTGTGTTTCTTAGTTAGGTTATGGTCATTTTGTACGCCGCGTTTATTGTTAGTGATATAATTCATAACCATTTTGTATTAAAAGAGTATGAGTTGAATATTTAATGTTCGGCTTAAAGGCGAACGTCATACAGACGAAATCATATTGGTTATGATGTACTTTCTTTAAGTGTTCAATTTAACACGAGATATTAATCTCGGATATTTCAATAGAGATCATTCTATTGTTTAAACAGTTGTTATTTTTTCATTAATCGAGTATACATTGAGAACATGGTAGTGTTATTTAGTTCACTAGAAACTGTAGTAATGTGATGATGATATGTGCAATAATTTCAGTAGTCATTTTAATACAATCATATAATATCATTTATGAATGTAGAACGAAATACGATCTACATAAGGAAAATTGCAGAACGTAGAAAATACAATATATTCACAATGGTTGATAAATAACGGTCAGCTGATTAAAAGAATAATATTCAACTTATTAATGTGTGAAATAAATATCAACGGTAGATTCGAATACAGAGTAGAAAGAACGGAAACCACACCAATATGTTTAAAATAGAGGGGAAAACGTGGTGGTGCCTTCTTGGATAGGCATGTTATAGCAGTTAGCGCAATACTACGAGACGCGACAGCACGTTTCAATCCCGGAACCAGTGTCGCGAAACACAAAGGTATCATTCGTATTTGCAAGTTCCATGAAATAATGGAACACGTGTACTGGGAATCGCGATAAAGTATCGGTGCATAAAAAGAAGACGTATTAAGTTATGTCACCTGTGCATCGATATGCACGCCCTAGTGAAAAACCGCGTGTTATGGAA